ATATGTTTTGAGAGACTCTCCAGAATAGGGAGGGGCTGAGTATGAGATAAATATAAACGTCAGGAAAACACAAATTTGGTATCTTTCCGTCAGATTAAGTGGGATCAGGAGTTCATGGGAGGATCACAGACTATTTTATCGACTCTGTTGAGGTCACGTTTTTCTCTTCCAGAGTAAGGAGAGTCATTTTAGTCATCTTTCACCTCTAGTTATGTTTGTGTAGAGCAGTAAAGCCAGAAATTTGGTCCCAAATATGGCAGCCACAACAGAGAAATCACCGACAGAAACCCGAGGATGGTTAGCCTATAAACCCAGGCTTTAGTGTGGCTTGTTGTGAGGTATGGCTTCTTTCTTAGAGCTACTGAGTGTTTCTTCCTGTGATCGTTGTTTACCTGTTTATCAGTCTCTGTTTTGTATCTTCGACTTCGCCTTTCTGCCTAGCGCTCTTTGGGTCTGGTTTGCCTTTCTTGTTGTTATGTTTGTCCCTTTTTGTTGTTTGGATCATACTGGATTTGACCTTTGACCATGACTATCGATCATGTCCAGAACAGTAAAGCCTCAATTCCTGATTTTACCTACGAGTGTCTGGCCAGTTCTGTATCGTTACAATGTGGAAGACCCCAACACTCTTTCATCACACTATAACTACAGCTAGGCCTTCAGTTCTGCCTTTATATGCTATGAGAATGGTCATTTCTACTAGCACCTCTGTGGGATTTCCAGGTAGTATGTTAGCACCAAGCCATTCACATTAACATTTTGCAGCCTTTCTAAATAAATGCAAATGTTTGAAGCCTGTAATGGACATTATCATATATCTGAGCTTGTATGTATCAGTTTTACAATGGCTGTTTAGTAGAGTGCCACAGAACTGCTGCCACTGTTTTACATTCCTAACAACTAACCAGAACCTGCTGAGACTACAACTCGTATTCACAGTCAGTGATTTATCTAGAACTTCCACAAGACATTTTTTTGTCCTCACAAAATTGGTCTTGATTCAAATCAATGTGTGATTGGTTGATTCGACTTCCTAATTATGCTGGTAGTTAATCCAACATCAGTCCAGCTCCTGAAGTCCTAACCAATGAGAGAGCTCACTTGTCTGTATCTACCTAGAGAAAACAATCCTGATTGGTCATTGGGCGTTTTAATATTATAATGGTTTGGTTTCCACCCAAATCTTAACAATGAATCAGAGCCTCATTACGATATTTGCAGAGCTTTAATACAAGAAGAAATCAGTAGAGCTTCTCTGAAGGCCTAGAAGTCGAAATCATCACAAACTTGTCTCAAACTGTGTGGAGGTGTTCAGTAAACTCTAATAGACTTGATTATGTGGTTTCTGACCATGTGTGACTCACTGTTACCTATAAATATGGACTAACATACCGACTTTTTGGTCATAAACTTTGTCTACTCTTAAAATAACTGTAAAAAACAATCATTTTCTGTCGTCACAAGTGACATTTTCCTTTGAAACCAATTATAATGAAGCAGCTGAACATTTTTAAGAGTGACATTCTCTTCGCCGTTGTGGTGGTTTCGGAAAGCCGAGCCCGAGACGGTGGGAAAATGAACGTGGGTTTGAATCAGAGGGAGAAGGTCTTGTGGCTCTGAGAGCTTAGCATGCAAAATAAACTTAAAGTACAAACTGCGGTTGGGACTAAATTATTTCACCCACACTCTTTTCAGGCTGTTTGACTCACTATTGTTCCAGCTTTTTGAAAGGTCAAACAAAGTGCTGTGGTTTGGTGATGCTCATTTGGACTGTACCACCCTGAAGTTGACATTATCACAAAGGTATTTGCAGTAATAATAAACACAGCTAAATGTTTTATTTTGTGTAGCATGTTTCACACAGTGATGCAGCTCAAAGTGGTTTAAAAGGGAAATTTTCTGTAAGATTACATAAATAAACAGAGTCATTCAGAGCGGTTTGGTGTGAAATCCTCTGAGTCCGAATTGTTCACAGTGGTGGTGATAGGAACCAGACGTCCGCCTCTAAAAGCTCCCTCAGAGGGTTATGAACACACTGCCTAAAGACTGAGACACTGTTTTATGATAGTTTTAGAGAACTTTGGGAACTTTTTTGACTCTTTAATGTCGAAGAGCAGCTGGTGGGTCCGGGCCTCCATTCCTCAGGTCGTATGATTGAAGAGGAACTCAGATTGCACTGCGTTCCGTGCGGTTAGGATGTAATAAACCTGAGAATTTCAGGGTTTAAAACCTTCCACTGAGGCAGCGGAATATCCTGACATTCAGGAACACAGAGAGTGAACTTGTTTTGAAACGTGATCTCCACGACATTTGCAGGATATTCCACTAAAGCCACAGGCCTACACTTTAACTTCTGCTGATAAATTAGACCCGTGTGTGGGGGGTTTCCTCCGACTCAGCAGAGAGAGAGAGAGAGAGAGAGAGAGAGAGAGAGAGAGAGAGAGAGAGAGAGAGTCAGTCGGCCAAAATCACTACCTCTATACTGAAGATCTGTAGGAAATCTACTGACCTGTTTTGGTAAAATATCTTCCTATGTAGGTTTATTTTCAGCTCCCACTCAGCCTCAGTTCCTCTAAACTACTGTTATTGTTTATAATCTTTAATAACTGAGTTCCAAACTAAATCTGGTTATAACTGAAACTGTGACTTCTTAAATCTCTGAATCCCTTCTTCTTCTTTTTTTTGCTGTTGTTTTTTGTTATATCAGTGATATTTTTGCAGCAATGTAATTAAATATACTTGAAAAACCTTAGTGACATAAACAGAGAGAGAGGAAGGAGAGCAAGAGAGAAAAACAGAAGAAGGAGAGAGGAGAGAGAGAGAGAGAGTGAGAGAGAGAGAGAGAGACAGAGGGAGAGAGAGAGAGATGTGTTCTGTAGCTGCAGGGTGAATGACCTGTCTGCTCTTGAACCCCCAGTGCCCCCCGAAACCATGAAGAGGTCACAGTGCTCTCTGCAAGAGATCCAGAGCAAGAATAGAGAGAGAAAACAGACAAAGAGAGAGAGAGAGAGAGAGAGAGAGAGAGGATACAGAGAGACTGAAAAGAGAGATGTCCTGTCTACTCTTGAACCCCCCAGTGCTCCCCAAACCACAAAGAGGTCACAGTCCACAACGATGAACAAGAAACAGAGAGAGAGAGAGAGGGAGAGAGAGAGAGAGAGAGAGAGAGAGAGAGAAAGGGCCAAGAGAAAGAGGGAGAATAGACAAAGAGATGATGTGTTCTGTAGCTGCAGGGTGAATGTCCTGTCTCCTCTTAAACCCCCAGTGACCCCTGAAACCATGAAGAGGTCACAGTGCATCAGAGAGAGGGGGAGGGAGAGAGGGAGAAGGGGAGGACAAGAGCACAGAGAGAGAGAGAGAGAGAGAGAGGGAGAGAAAACACAAGCAGATGGCCGGGGCAGCAGATAAAACGAAATAAAAACAGAAAACAGTGATTTATAAATTGTCTTTGAAAGATATTTAATTTTCAAAAGAACAAAGATAAAATATTTCATCTTTAATTTACAGACATTTGTAAACATATTTCCAAATTTGATACCTGCAGCTTATTGCAGCAAAAGTTGGACCAGGGTAAAGTAAGACTGGGAAGTTTGTGGAATGATCAAAAACTTTCCACAGGTAAACAGATGAATAGGTAACAGGTGATAGTATCATGATTGGGACTGATTGCCGAAAAACTGCATGTGCAAATAGTCCAACAGTTTGAAAAAGGAATTTGTGGATTTCACGTTGTTAAGGACTTCAATCTTTCAGACGTCACTACGTTAAAAACGGACATGCTTGTGTAATTCAGGAATACTCCGGAAAAGGCTTGTCAGTAAACACAGTCTGTCGCTTTATCCGCAAATGCAAGTTAAGACTCTACTACGCAAAGCAGAAGCTGAATATCAACAACGTAAAACGCCGTCGACTTCTCTGGGCTGAAGCTCATCTGAGACAATGTGGAAAGGTGCGCTGTGGTCCGACGGGTCAACCTTTCACATTGTTTATGGAGATGGAAACGTCCTGCTCTCCAAGCCGAAGAAGAAAAGGATCATCCAGATTGTTACCAGTGTAAAGTTCAAAATCCAGCATCTGTCATGGTTTAGAGGGTGATATTTGTGGGTAACCTGCACATCTGTGAAACCACTTATTATTCTGAGGGGTTCATACACATCGTGAAGCCACATATGCAGCCATCTAGATGACGTCTTTTTCAGGATGATGATGCCAGGCGGGAGGAGGACAACAGCTCGAGTGAGAAAAGGACTGAAAAGTCTAGTTTGAAGTCACTGAAAAGTCAGCATGGGTTTGATTTAGTTTTGAGTACTTTGTGTTTGTTTGGTGAGAAAATAAAGTAAAATGGCTGCTGCAACCTGAACCCTGAACCCAGCCTCCAGGTCCTCCTTGAGCCCAGGGTGGCACAGGTTGTGCTACAGTACTGTTTTTAATTGAATACAGATAAAAAAAGGACGTACAAATCATTGCAGCCTGTTTTTATTCCCATTTTTCCTACTGTCTCGACTTTTTAATCATTGGGCTTTTTTTTTGATTTTACTTTTGATTCATGATGAAAGGACCAATAAAAAAGCTCCAAAGTTTCTTGGAATAAAATCTTGTTAGTGTAACTTACACTGAAAATAAATAAGTGTTCTTGCCCTCTCCTGTAAACTCACACACACACACACACACACACACATATATATATATATATATATATATATATATATACACATGTATATATATATTTAGAGAGAGAGAGAGAGAGCGAGGGAGGATGATTCACCCTTGTCCTGTGGAGTGGTCAGTGATGAGTAAAGACAGAGAGACGTTTCTGAAGTCTGAAGTTCGTCCACAGTAGATTAACAACCTCTTCAGGCATAAACACAGAGGCTGAGCGCGACCCTCTGACCCGTAAACTGTCCACTCTGCGGCCCGCGGTGCTCTAACTGCAGTATAGTTTCTGTGTAAAACGGCTCTCTGTGCTGCCATGTTGACATGCTGTGTTTTTTTATGGCAAGGTCAAGACTGGCGGACTTCCATACAAACTGTCAGATGACCCGCGACTTCATCAGCAGCTGCCCGAACGACGACTACCAGGCCTGCCTGACCGCCTACACCGGCCTCATCGGTGAGAGAGAGAGAGAAAGAGAGAGAGAGAGAGAGAGAGAGAGAGAGAGAGAGTTGTAGCACCGCCAAATATTTTCCAAGAAAAGCAGTAACTACCCGCTGCTTGAAAGGTCACTGGATCGTGTCACTAATGCCTTATTTGCATATGATTAGCATATTGTCCAACATTCCGCTCTTTTTGTTTTTTTTGCTTTATTCATCTCATATTCTGCTCGTATGAACACATATTTTTCAGCTTCAATAATATTTATCAAATACTTGTTACAGAATAAAACTGAAATTTTATACATACCGAATAAATGATCATAAATACTGAACAGTTCATTATAAGTAATGAAAATACATAGTATCAAATAATTTATAGTAGTTACTGAGTCATTTTTAGTAGTTATTGAATAATTCATAGTAAGTCATTGTAAATACTAAACAATTAGATACTAAACATATAATTTTATTCAGTATCTAATAAAAGATTGGATCCTGAAAATTCATAGTAGTTACTAAATAATTCATAGTAGTTACTGAATAATTAATAGTAGGTACTGAATAATTCATAGTAGATACTGAATAATTCATAGTAGTTACTGAATAATTAATAGTAGGTACTGAATAATTCATAGTAGATACTGAATAATTCATAGTAGATACTGAATAATTCATAGTAGTTACTGAATAATTCATAGCAGTTACTGAATAATTAATAGTAGGTACTGAATAATTCATAGTAGATACTGAATAATTCATAGTAGATACTGAATAATTCATAGTAGTTACTGAATAATTCATATTAGATACTGAACATTTATAGTAGACGTGAATCATTAATAGTAGATACAGAATTATTCATTGCAGATAAAAAAAACAAGATTAGGAATTTAATTAATAATTAATCTTTAGACAAAAATATTCTTCAGTCACTTTGTCTTTAGACCATCAGACCAAATTACTACATGACAAGATTCACATTAAAAAAATGAAAATTTTAGGTAATCTTAATGAGAAATATGATCAATTTAAATTGTTATTCTTACTTTTGCATTATTTGTTAATTAATTAAAATTGTTATTTGTTATGATGATGCTAACAGGTAACGATTGATTCAATCTTAACATTGATTGATGGAAACAAACAAATAAATACGACAGTTACTGTGTATATTTAGGTAACGACTATATATATATGTATATATATATATATGTATGGAAACAGAGGGTCAGGAAGTAAACCAGACATGTTTTTTAAATTGTTGTTGTAATGAAACGGTAATATTTGAGTATATTTCAGTGAAGCATCTCTAACATGGCTACACAGCTGACATTCTGCTTAATTATCTGATGTCGTAACATTCGTAGTTAATTTGTGATGTTTGTCCCTAAGGGCTCGTCTCTAGCATGATGCTAACTGATAATGCTATCCCTCATTCACCGTTCAAATAGCCCACCCATGCTAACATAGCTGAAACTAACCTAAAGCTGGCTGCGTAAGCTAACATGACGCTGGAGTGAGTTCAGCGTTAGTCAGATGAGCAGAATTATTCTGTCACTAATTAATTTAGCGCTTCACGATGTCCAGCTTCACCCTAATGGATGTGTTTCACCTCCAAAAGGAACCGAAATGACTCCAAACTACGAGAACAACAATCACGAGGACTTCACCATCTCGCCCTGGTGCACCTGCCAGAACAGCGGCAACAAGGAGGAGGAGTGTGACAAATTCCTCAAGGACTTCAACCAGAACACCTGCCTGCGTAAGTCAGACAGACAGACTGACAGACAGACAGACAGACACATGGATAGATAGCTACACGGGTAGACAGAAAGACAGACAGGCAGATAGAAAAACAGAAAGACTGCTAGACAGAAGACAGACAGACATTTGGATAGACAGACAGACAGACAGACAGATAGATAGATAGATAGAGAGGTGGATGGACAGATACATAGACAGATGGACAGACAGACAGACAGATAAACAGATGGATAGATAGATAGATAGATAGATAGATAGATAGATAGATAGATAGATAGATAGATAGATAGATAGACAGACGTACAGACAGACAGATAAACAGACAGACAGGTAGATAGACAGACAGATATACAAATAGATAAACAGACAGATACAGATAGACAGATAGATAGATAGATAGATAGATAGATAGACAGACAGACAGACAGAAGGACAGATAGATGGACAGATAGATGGGCAGATAGATAGACAGACAGATAGATGGACAGATAGATAGACAGACAGATAGATGGGCAGATAGATAGACAGACAGATAGATGGACAGATATACAGACAGACAGATAGATAGACAGACAGACAGATATACAGATAGATAAACAGACAGATACAGACAGACAGATAGATAGACAGACAGATAGACAGACAGATAGATAAACAGACAGATAGACAGACAGATAGACAGACAGATAGACAGACAGATGTACAGAGAGCTGTTTGACTGATTTGGTTTCTCCTTCGACCTTCACGTCTGTGTAGGTGGGTTTCTGATCTGTACTGTTTCTCTCACTGATCTAATTCAGGTAATGCAGCGTTCACAGGTCTCCTTTAATGACCTACAGCCTGGGTGGCGTCGCGGCAACAAACACGAGGAGGAGAAAGATCTGAAAATGATAAAATAAAACCAGGCGTTTCTCTCGTGATGGTCTGTCGTGCGCGTCTCAGATCTCTTAATGTGGGTTTTAAACATAACAAGGCCTCATTGACAGATACATGCCTTTGTGTCGTGTGCGAGCTGTGCCGGAGGAAAGTCTTAATAAACGAGTGCAGCGGAGCGCTCTGCTGTTTTCCTGCTGAGCTGGCACAGAGCGCGCGGGTGATGGGAAACAGCGCTGATATTATTCTGCAGCTCCGCGACTATCTGGAGACATATGTCATCTGAGAGCGGAGAGAAGAGAGAGAAGAAAGAGAGAGAGAGAGACAGGAGAGAGAGATAGAGAGAGAGAGAGAGAGAGAGAGAGAGAGAGAGAGAGAGACAGAGACGACGAGAGAGGAGAGAGAGAGAGAGAGAGAGACAGAGAGAGAGAGAGAGAGAGAGAGAGAGAGAGAGAGAGAGTTCTTGTTTCTTTTCTTTTTTTTCCGAGAAATGTAAAAAAGGCTCAGACGCTGGAGGGGAAAAGGCAAAACTTACTTCAGTGCTTTGATTCATTTGTTGAACCAGAAAAAATGGATATAGAAACTGAACATTTCCGGCTTTTCCTCAGTTGTGTTCACTTGTGGGAAGGAAAGAAAACGAATATATTAAAGTCGTCACAACATTGACTAAACATTTCATTCATTCAAAAACATTTACAACTTCAAACACAGTCAGTTACTGTATTATTATCAAGCCAACTCACCATTTAACCTTTATTTCACAAGGAAATAAGCCCAGGCCACCCTGAAAGGGGCAGTCCAGCCAAAATTAAAAATATACCCATCATTAAATGATGTGAATGTTCCTACTGTCCTCCTATATCAGTGCTGCAGTGGTCTCTAAAGTGAGATTCTCCAGTTTAAAGACTAAAAACCCTTCTGATGATGTATATTGAAGGTGGGAGGAGCTTGTCAATTACTTTAGAGTGAACACTTGAGGCCAACTGGTTGAGTTATTGTTTTTTTCTGCTAGATGGCTAACGCTAATGCTAGGAAGCTGAATAGTTCGACTGTATTTGGGTCGTTGACATCATGTGCATGCCAAAATAAAATAGTTTGGTGTATTATAGTAGATACAGAATAATTTATAGTAGATACAGAATTTTTCACAGTATATACTGAATAATTTATAGTAGATACTGAATAAATCATAATAGATACTGAATATTTCGTAGTAGATACTGAATAATTAATAGTAGGTACTGAATATTTCATAGTAGGTACTGAATATTTCACAGTAGATACAGAATAATTCATAGTAGTTACTGAATAATTCACAGTAGATACAGAATAATTCATAGTAGTTACTGAATAATTCACAGTAGATACAGAATAATTCATAGTAGATACTGAATATTTCACAGTAGATACTGAATAATTCATAGTAGATACAGAATAATTCATAGTAGATACTGAATAATTCATAGTAGTTACTGAATAATTCATAGTAGATACAGAATAATTGACAGTAGATACAGAATAATTCATAGTAATTACTGAATAATTCATAGTAGATACTGAATAGTTCACAGTAGATACTGAATAATTCACAGTAGTTAATAATTCGTACTTGTTGCTGAATAAGTGTAATAAGTCTAATAAAATTAATAGCTGAGTAATAAGCCCTTATTAATCTCCTTTCGAATGATGCGCTAACCTGGATGGTACTTTTGTATTATTGTATTATTCTGTTTTTTTTCTTTATTACAGAAAATGCGATTGTGGCTTTCGGCTACGGGATGTTTAAGTTTGATGCTCCGTTTGGTACGCCCTCCGCGAACCCTGAGCCCAGCATCGAGCCCAAATCCACCCCCAGCCCCAACAGCACCAGAGCTGCCACTGAGGTGAGTGTCCACGTTCAGCTTTGGGCCAGGACTCTGCAGGCTGCCTTATTAGGGCCTACACAATACACTGTCTGTTAAACAGTATCCCCATATTGGCTTTTACAGTCGTAATACAAAATAGTCCACAATATGCAAATGAGCCCTCCAAACAGTCAGTGTTTTTGCACTGTGCACTGTGATTATCCTGACTAATCACAGCTTCATATGAGCTTATGAGTATGTGTTTTGATTAATCGAGGTGTTTATGTATGAAACAAAAAAAAAGATTTTGGTCAGAATAATGCAGGCTAATCTTTAGCCTATCTTCAGAGAGTCGGGTGTGTTTACTGGCCAAAAACCGCCTACTTTGACAGGAAAGGGCCGTTTGACTGACATGCGAAACAGTCAATCACAGACCGTTGTTTTGTATGTGCAGGCAATTTTCAAAACAGAGCTACAGCAAAAACATACTCAGGGGAAACAAAGGCTGCGTTCACACAGCAGGTCAAAGTGGCCCAGATCTGATTTTCTGACCAAATCAGATTTTTTTGTTTGGCTGTTCACATTGTCTTTTAAATGTGATCTGTATGGGACTTCAGTCTGAACAGATCAGCTCCTAAACTGACCCGCATGCTCAAAAGAACAGAGCTTCACGCTGCTCCACGGCTCACCCAGAGGTAAACAATCCTGACGGTCAGCGAACCTCAGTCACTACTGGAGCTTCAGCTTCGTCTTCGCCAGCATCACAGGAGCCTTTATAAAGTTCCTTTTTGAAAGGGTTCCGTATAGCACCAAAAAGGGTTCCACTATTGTTACAAGCCAAAGAACCCTTTCTTGGTGCTATATAAAACCCTTTTTGCTAAGTGCCTAGCAGAAAGTGCTGTAGATGGTTCTAAATAGAACCTTTATGAAAAGGGTTTCATATAACACCAAAAAGGGTTCCACTATTGTTACAAGCCAAAGAACCCTTTCTTGGTACTATATAAAACCCTTTTTGCTAAGTGCCTAGCAGAAAGTGCTGTAGATGGTTCTAAATAGAACCTTCATGAAAAGGGTTCCGTATAGCACCAAAAAGCGTTCCACTATTGTTACAAGCCAAAGAACCCTTTCTTGGTACTATATAAAACCCTTTTTGCTAAGTGCCTAGCAGAAAGTGCTGTAGATGGTTCTAAATAGAACCTTCATGAAAAGGGTTCCGTATAGCACCAAAAAGCGTTCCACTATTGTTACCAGCCAAAGAACCCTTTCTTGGTACTATATAAAACCCTTTTTGCTAAGTGCCTAGCAGAAAGTGCTGTAGATGGTTCTAAATAGAACCTTTATGAAAAGGGTTCCGTATAGCACCAAAAGGGTTCCACTATTGTTACAAGCCAAAGAACCCTTTCTTGGTACTATATAAAACCCTTTTTGCTAAGATCGTAGCAAAAAGTGCTGCAGATGGTTCTAAATAGAACCTTCATGAAAAGGGTTCCACATAATACCAAAAAGTGTACCACTATTGTTACAAGCCAAAGAACCCTTTTTTGGTACTATACAGAATCCTTTTTGCTAAGAGTGTAGAAAAAATTTCTGTAGATGGTTCTAAATAGCATCAACATGAAAAGGGTTCCATATAGCACCAAAAAGAGTTCATCTGTTGGTTCTATAAAGGTTAAAGGTTCATAAAGGTTCTATATAGAACCATCTACAGCACCATCTCCATCGATCTAAACAATCATTTTATGATTCAAAGAACCATTTATGTATGCAAAGGGTTCTTTGAATGTTCATGGTTCTGGATAAAACCTTTAAGGAACCATCTTTTTGAGAGTGTACATCACAGATATAGACATTTTATTTACTGTCCAGAACCACCAGTGAACCTACACGAGTCTTCTGAGTTTATATGGAATGTTGATGATGGAAAATAGTGGAAAATCTGATTATTATTCAGATTATGAAGAAAACGATGCAGAAATGTTGAAAAATCAGTGGAATTCCCATTTACTCCCGGGATGTTATCTGTATCGTAGTAACTGGAGCCGACGCCTCCTTCGCTGCACCGCTGCCCATAAATATAAGCTCTCATTAAAACCTTTTCTCAAACAAAACATATTTACCCACAAGAACAGCAACGACACGGCATGTTCAATTAGCACTGATTGTACAATTTGATGACTAATCAAGCTATGAATACAAAAACAGGACCATTGAGAATCTCTAACCAGCAGCGAATTAATTCACATTTGTGCATTGTTACTGAATTCTACCTACAATAAACACCAAAACAGGCGCAAACATGGTGGCGGGTCTTTGCCGCTTGCCTCACCTGCCTGTAAACAGCTCTCCCGCCGCGCTGACGGGCCTCTAATTAACGTCCAAGAAGAGAAACGAGTAAAGAACGAGTGTCTGAGAACAATACAAACAGGCCGACACTGAAAAATGCGCCCGGCCGCCGAAGCCTCCGGAGAGCAGCCGACGTTCGGCGGTATTGATTCTCCAGCACCAGCCGTGTGTGACAGAGTCGGTGCGGTTTGCCATTGTGTTTGCGGACGAGCCGGGCCGCCAGTGCGATGCCTAATTTATGGCAGAAATGGTAATTAGCGAACGCACGACACAAGAACCGTTCAAGCAGGAAGTTTATAATTAGAGATAGCCTGAGGGGAGCCGTTCTCCTCCCGCTATTCAAAAATCTGTCAGTCGCGCATCATGGACTATTCAGCCCCGGTGCAGACTTTCGTACGTCTCCGCTGGTCCTGCTCACGTTCTTTCAGAAATAAATAAATAAATCCGTCAGTGAACGGCCTTGCCTCTGGCTCTCCACTGAAATCTCCAAGCAGTGAGAAGAGAACATTACGTGAAGTTTCTACTAAAACTGTGTACTGTTTGTTCTCTTTGGCCAAAGCTGGGGGAAACATCGTAGCCATGTTTCAGGGGCACTGTGTGGCCAAAAGTATGTGGACACCCGACCGTCACAGCTAAATGAGCTTGTCGGGCATCCCATTCCGATATGGTGTCGTATCCACTCTTCTGGGATTTTGTACACATTCAATCTAAAGAGCATTTGTGACTGATGTTGGACAAGAAGGCCTGGCTCAGTTCATCCCAAGGGATGTGGGGTTGAGCTTAGGGCTCTGTGCAGGCCACTGGAGTTCCTCCACACCAAACTGGCCAATCCATGTCTTTATGGAGCTGCTTTGTGCACAGGGGCTCAGTCATGCTGGAACAGGAAAGGCTCTTCCCCAAACTGTTCCCACAATTGTGGAAGCATATGATTGTGTAAAATGTCTTTGTGAGCTGCAGCATCAACATCACCCTTCGCTGGAACTGAGGGGTCTGAAAAACAGCCCCAGCTCATCATCCCTCCTCCACCAAACTCTACTGTTGACTCTACATTCCATTAGGTAACGTTCTCCTGACATCCACCAAATCCAGATTCATCATCAGACAGACAGACAGAGAAGCTGATTCATCACTCCAGAGAACACGGTTCCACTGCTCCAGAGTCCAGTGGCGGCGCTTTACACCACCCCAGCCGACACTTGGCATTGCGCATAGTGATCTTAGGCTTGTGTGCAGCTGCTCAGCCATGGAAACCCATTTCATGAAGCTCCTGACGCTCAGTTTTTGTGCTGATGTTGCTCCCAGAGACAGTTTGTAACTCTGTAGTGAGCGATTCAACAAGGGATTGGTAACCTACCGATCTCTGTACGCACTCTGTACGTTTGCATGGTCTACCGATACACACCTGAGCTGTTGTTGCTCCTAGACGTTTCCATTTCATGATAATAGCAATACAAATAGAAATGAGGTGGCATCCTATGATGGTGCCTCTGCGCTCTTCATTAAGACCCATTCTACTGCCACTGTTTGTCTGTGGAGTTTGCATGGCTATGAGCTGATTTTAAACTAAATATCTTCAGTAGCAACTACAGGACAGTAGAAGCTGTATTGGAAACACCCACCTTGTGCTTCCACTCACTGGCCTCTTTATTAGAAACACCCACCTTACAGCTCCACTGTGTAGGTGTTACACACTGTTGATGTGTAGTTTCTCAGTTTCGGACCACTGTTGTCTAGATGTTATAGGCTTCAGTCTCCTACTTTACACCGGCAAAGTGGAGCTACAATCTAGGGGTTTCTGATAAAGTGGCCGGAGAGTGTGCATCCTTAAAGCAATCTGTGCTGGAGAGGGAGGGAGAGAACGAGAGAGAGGAAGAGAATGAGAGAGAACGAGTGAGAGAGATTAGTGCTTTTTTTAATGGCCGTTTATAATGCAGTCTTTTTTCGATACTGAGAATCGCTCGTCTAATGGCCCTCAGTTCTCTCCCTTTTAATAAGACACAGAGAGATGGTGATGGATGTGAGGGTGGAGAGGGGAGTTTGGCCATGAGCTCAGTGTAGTAGAGAGGCAGACAGACAGGCAGACAGACAGACAGACAGACAGACAGACAGATAGATAGATAGATAGATAGATAGATAGATAGACAGACAGACAGACAGATAGATAGACAGATGGACAGATAGATAGACAGATGGATAGATAGACAGACAGATAGATAGACAGATAAACAGACAGGCAGACAGATAGATAGATAGATAGATAGATAGATAGATAGATAGATAGATAGATAGACAAACAGACAGACAGTCAGATAGATAGACAGATGGACAGATAGATAGAAAGATGGATAGATAGACAGACAGACAGACAGATAGATAGACAGATAAACAGACAGGCAGACAGATAGATAGTAGATAGATAGATAGATAGATAGATAGATAGATAGATAGACAGACAGACAGATAGATAGATAGATAGATAGATAGATAGATAGATAGATAGATAGATAGATAGATAGATAGATTGATGGACGGACGGACGGACAGATGGATGGACGGACGGATACAGAGATAAACAGACAGACATACAGATAGATAGATAGATAGATAGATAGATAGACGTACAGACAGACAGATATACAGATAGATAAACAGACAGATACAGACAGACAGACAGATAGATAGACAGACAGACAGACATACAGATAGATAGATAGATAGATAGACATACAGACAGACAGACAGTTTAGGCCTGAATGCCCCTTTAACGTACACTGAACAGTGAAAAGGTTGCATTATGAACACAGTGTGCAACATTTACAGTCTGAATGCTGGAGGGTAGCAAAATTGTCTGCGTTCGAGTTTAATTGTGAGCTGCTGTGCACCTTTTTATGTCTTCCCAAAGGTTTTTGTTTTGTTGGGACATGAAGAATTTATGAAAGCGAGCAGAGAAAGAGCTCATTAGGAGCTTCCAGGCTGCTCCGTCTCCAGGTGCTCTATTTTGAGGTGTGTGGGGATGGTGATCTTCTCTAAGCCTCGGTGGTCTTACTGCAAATGTCAGACAGCTTGCTGCGGCGTATGAAAGCAGGGGCTGAAAGGCCTCTGTCGTTGCACTGATGTGATTGAAAAGAGCTTTATTGGATTAGAGAAGCGTCTGTGTGGCTCCGGACGTTAGCTCCACAACGATGGACACCATAAAACATGAGTGAGTCTGATGGAGTGAAAGTGTACGCGTGCGCTGCACTGATGTAATATACACTGTTCGACTTGTAATCCCGGCTGAGCAGGAAAGTCTCGCTGGATCAGTCTGTGGGCCTGTCATTCAGACTGAGATGACCCCTAAGCATAGACTTAAAGGGCGGTTCCACTCATATTTCAATTTTCTGCATAATTAAACAGTAAAGATGTAAACAGAGTCGTTCAGAGTGGTTTGGTGTGAAACGCTCCGTTCTAGAGAAACTTACAGAGTCTGGATTGTTCACAGTGGTGGTGATAGGAACCAGACGTCCACCTCTAAAAGCTCTCCAGAAACATCCTGATACATGTTGAGTGTGTTTACATGCACTCATTAATTCGATCTTAATCAGATTTCTGCAGTTATCTGATTATTCAAATGGTAATGTAATCAGCACATTCTGATTTCTTAGATCAGAGTAAGGTCTAGAAATTTGAGTAAGAAATCTGATAAAGAGGCTGGATTTTAGCTCAGTAATCAGATTTCTCAGTGCTGTAGACTCTTACTCTGATTTCTTTCGGATTTCTCAGTCTGAGCATGTGTGAAAACAGACACTGGTACCGGAAATAAGCGAGCAGCGTTACCGCAAGATGCAGCAAAACACCTAGAAAAGCGCACTTCCTGAAGAAAATGTAGAGAGACTGCACAGCTTAAGCAGTTCCCAGGTGGTTGTTAGGGTGTTGCCAAATAGTCAACAGTTGCTTGGGTGTTGCCGAGTGGTTACCATGGTATTTTTGGTGGTTGCAAAGATGTTGATAAGTGGCTGCTATGATATCCCAGGTGATTGCTAGGGTGTTGCTCAGTGGTTTCTGTGGTTTCCCAGATGGTTGCTAGGGTGTTGCTAGGTAGTTTCTGTCGTATCCCAGATGGTTGCTAGGGTGTTGCTCAGTGGTTTCTGTGGTATCCCAGATAGTTGCTGGGGTGTTGCTAGGTGGTTTCAATTGTATCCCAGATGGTTGCTAGGGTGTTAATAGGTGGTTTCTATAGTATCCCCCATGGTTGCTAGGGTGTTCCGCGGTGGTTTCTGAAGTATTCCAGATGGTTGCTAGGGTGTTGCTTCTTGGTTTCTGTGGTATCCCAGATGGTTGCTAGAGTGTTGCTCAGTGGTTTCTGTGGTTTCCCAGATGGTTGCTAGGGTGTTGCTAGGTAGTTTCTGTCGTATCCCAGATGGTTGCTAGGGTGTTGCTAGGTAGTTTCTGTTGTATCCCAGGAGGTTGTTAGGTGGTTTCTGTGGTTTCCCGGTGATTACTAGGGTGTTGCTCAGTGGTTTCTGTGGTATCCCAGATTGTTTCTGGGGTGTTGCTAGGTGGTTTCAGTTGTATCCCAGATGGTTGCTAGGGTGTTGCTCAGTGGTTTCTGTGGTATCCCAAGAGGTTGCTAGGGTGTTGCTAGGTGGTTTCAACTGTATCCCAGATGGTTGCTAGGGTGTTGCTTCTTGGTTTCTGTGGTATCCCAGATGGTTGCTAGGGTGTTGCTCGGTGGTTTCTGTGGCATCCCAGATGGTTGCTAGGGTGTTGCTTCTTGGTTTCTGTGGTATCCCAGATGGTTGCTAGGGTGTTGCTAAGTGGTTTCTGTGGTATCCCAGATGGTTGCTAGGGTGTTGCTCAGTGGTTTCTGTGGCATCCCAGATGGTTGCTAGGGTGCTGCTAGGTGGTTTCAGTTGTACCCCAGGTGGTTGTTCGGCTGCTCAAATAATGTGATTAATTGTGATTAACGACACAAAATAATACATACATACATACATCATCTAAACCGCTCATCCTTCTGGGTCGCGGCGGTGTGCTGGAGCCTATCCCAGCTGTCATTGGGCGGAAGGCGACACAAAATAATGAGATTAAAAATTTGAGAGCCCTGAAATTGGCAGGTGAGTCCAAACTTTTGACTCTAAAGCTAAAAAGAACTGAAGCCATCAAACATTGTAAATTCAGTGGTTCTGCTCATGAGCAAGACAGACTGTTCCTCTACAGTCCACACTAAACCTGCTTTCAATCTCCTGATTCCTGAATCCCGAATCTGATCTTCCTGTTTTGTCTTCCTGCAGGAAAACGCAGAGACCTGCAGCCCCTCCAAAGGCTTCGGGTGTAATGAGGTAAGGACTGAGGTTGAAAAGCAGGTTCCGCTGTGATGGACCTGTTATCTTTCTGCAGCAGTCTGTGTCCGAGAGCAGAGAGCGCATCTAAAGACGCGGGAGTAATGCCATCCATTTTTAATCAGCCATAAAGTTTAAATTTTAACTGGTTTACTCTCAGAAAGGGGGCGAGATTACACTCATCTTAGAATAACTTACATCAGCGACATCTGTCTGTCTGTCTGTCTGTCTGTCTGTCAGTGTCCTACTGTTCGCTTCCATTTGGGAGGATAAAAATGTAAAGTACACTGCAAAAAATTATATCTCGCCAAGCGATATTATCTTAAACTGAGTCACTATGTTCACTATGTCTCATTTTGAGATGGTTGTTGCCATATTATGTATCTATTTATCTTATTTCTATACATTTTTTGTTTAAGTGATTCCAGTAAATCAAATGATCCTCACTATATTGGCATGTAATTTGGCTGGTTGCAGGCGATTTCTTGCAAAGAGCGAACTTATGTGCCAATATAGCGAGAAAATCTGACGCATTTGTTACTAAAATCACTTAAAACAAATAAAAATTTAAGATTTAAGATCATTTCACTCGCCATGATGCCATTTCTTGCAGTGTATCTAAACATAAAGGTGCCAAATGGAACCGAAAAGGATGCCAAAGATGCCCCAGGAGAACGTTCATTCTTCTACACTCTTAAAGAAGATTGTTCTTCAAGGGTTCTTTAGTAAAGTGGCTCTATGGAGAGAACCATGAACACTCCAAGAACCCTTTGCATGGTGAAATTGTTCTTCACATTTATGGAGAATGTGTTTTTGTGTTCTCTTTAAAAATGATTTGAAAACGACCCAAAAAGGGTTCTTCTACTGTGGACAAGCTTGACATGGTAACAATGCTCACTCAGTCTGGAGAATGTGTTGTATATGGCTTTTTGAAAATGGTTCTCTATAGCACCAAAACAGGGTTCTTCTATTGTTATGATATCGAGCTTGTTACAGTAGAATAACCTTTTTTGGTGCAACATAGGACCCTTTTCAAAATGGTTCTATATAGAACCATCTACAGCACTTTTTCTATCAATGTGAAAAACCAGATCACATTGCAAAGAACCCTCTAATCATGCAAAGGGTTCTTTGAGTGTTTATGGTTCTATATAGAACCACTTTGTCTAAAGAACCCTTGATATACCACCTTTTATAAGTGTGTACTTATATAATACTTACAAAAACTTGTTAGTCCCACAACGGGGGCATTTTTACCCATCCATGCAGCGAAACACCACATACACACTAGGGGGCAGTGAGCACACTTGCCCAGAGCGGTGGGCAGCCCTATCCGCAGCACCCAGGGAGCAGTTGGGGGTTAGGTGTCTTGCTCAAGGGCATTTCAGTCACGTAATGTCGGCTCAGGGGATCAAACCCGCGACCTTCTGGTCACAAGGCTGGTTCCCTAACCTCCAGCCCGCGACTGTCCCAATGACTGCCTTCATACTTATATGATGATCCAATAATAAGTGTGCCTGATTTTTCCACTTTTTTCCTGCTTACTCTTTTATCTTTTCTTCTACAGGCTCTCATCGAACCCGACACAGTGGTGCCAAAATTCAACACGAGGAACTGGAGCCCAGGCCTGAAGCTCAGCGCTGGCGTCTGGATGCTGTGGCTGATTTACGCTGCGGGAAACTTCGCTATCTAATCCTGCCTGAGACACGAGAACAGGACCTTACGAGACCAGTCAAAAAAATCTCCAAATGACCAAATTCTCTGCTCGTGTGTCCTCTCTCTACTACTACAGCTTTATTTGCGTCCAAATTAAAGAGCAAGAAACCAAGAAAAACATGGAATTTACAGAACGGAGGGACACATATCCGAGACTAAAGTGCCCAGCGAGTGAGAACGCGGCGGAAAAGACGGAGAAAGTAGACGTTTCTCACTTCGTCTCTTGGGAATAAACTGACCCTGTGCTTTGCTGCTCTGGTAGACTCATGGCTAAGATCTAACGTGGACTTTCTGGGAGTCTACCGTACAGCTTCTTTTCTCACGGATGTTTGGTTGTACCCGTGTGATCTGTTCCACCCGCCGACCGACTCTGGACCGACGTCTTTTCTCGCGAATCCTCCGTATCGAGCCCCGATTTCTGTTGGATTTTTTTTCGCACTCTTTCCACGCTGACAGGTGCTTCTGCTTTTTTCGCATTGTGATTTTTCTTTTTTTTTCATGGCACCTTCTCTTTCTTTCTCTTTTTTTTTTCTCCTCCTTTGTGCTGGAGGAGTAATTACTTTTCTCTCGTGGTTCTTTTTTCAATGCGAAGTTGTTTGAAGTATAAATCTGTAGCCTGTCGACATGGTGTGAGGGCGTGTCGCCGCTGACAAGCTTTCTTATTCCTGTTCTGTGCTTTTCTGACGGATTTAAATAAAAAAGAGAGAAGAAAAAAAGAAGAAATATAAAAAAAAAACGAAGCGTTTCTGAAAAGTACTAATCGATCAAGAAGAGGACTGGCACTTGCGGAGTATTTGTTCTAGTTTAAAGTGGATTTACGGTTCTAATGGGCTGCCCACGAGTACAGTATAATTTCAGTCTGTGAATATGAAAATGTTCTCTCTTTTTTTCCTTTCAACTGTACAGATCATGATTATAATGTAAAGTCTTTACGTCAAGGAAGAGAACAGTGAATGGTGGAATTATAGTTCTGCTGGGGTGACTGAGTGGAGCGTAAGCCGTGATGAAAAGTGCAGTTAGGGTGTGTTTTCTTATACATGATTATGCACTTATTGAATCTTTTTCCTGGAGCATTTATGACCTCGATCCACTCTTAAAAACATACAGCACCAGTTAAAAGTTTGGACCCAGTTGGATGAATATTTTCATCATCATTTAGGCCTAAAACTAGCATAAAATATGTCGTTTGCCACAATATTTAAAATTCAGTAGCTTCGTTGTTTTTACACATTTTATGATTTTATATCTTTTGTCTGTTTCTCTGACAGCATGCATTATGCAAATGCATCATGCAGCCACTGGGAATCCAGTCTTGACTGATAGCCAGTGATCAGCAGGCTATTAAATACAACCAAGCCTCATAAGTGTAACTTTACCTTGGTGTTGAGATCTTCACAGATATAAATTTGAAGCCCTTATCCGATCGATACTCACGACCTGAATGGTACTGCTAAATTTGTGACCTGAACCCAATCCGAACCCCTGCTCGAGTCTAAAGTTGGCTCAATGTCTTATTCAAAATTACCTTCCCACCTTAAAGGGTGCAGCAGTTAAGGTGGAACGTAACATTCAAACTTGCACTTGAATTGCTAAGGCCTAAGCTTGACCTCCTGGCCTGCCTGAACCGACGCTGTGCTCAGGACCACATCGTCAGAAAAAATATTGCTTCCATTTTCCAGTAGTTATACTTGGCGGTATGGCTCTGTTCTGGGAGCAGCAGAAAGACCCCCAAATGACCACACCAGGCATACCCGGCCAGCAGGAGGTTGCAAAGATGAATTTAGCCAAATGTATGCGTAGTAGGCGATCAGCTGGGCCATCAGCTGATTGAGATCAGTCGATGACAGCTGGTGATCTGAGACTGTGGTCTGAGCTTGACTTCACAGCCTGCCTGGACTAACGCTATGCTCAATTTCCTTCCGGACCACCTTATCAGAGAAAATATTTTGTTTCCACTTGCAGTAGTTATATTTGTTCTGGGACCTCCCTGCACTTCCATGTGCACACATGGAAAGCCTAAGGCAGGGAGAGCAGCAGAAGGACCCTCAAAATGACCCGAGGAAGCGGCGAGAATGGGCAGGCTAAAGCAGCTTAAACAAACACCCTGATGAATTTAGCCAGTTGTCTGCATAGTAGGTGATCAGCTGGGCCATCAGCTGATTGAGATCAGTCGATGACAGCTGGTGATCTGAGACTGTGGTCTGAGCTTGACTTCACAGCCTGCCTGGACTAACGCCATGCTCAATTACATTAACAGTATTTATTATAAGTATTTTTTTATGTAATTGCTGGTCAAACCTAGCAAAAAACAACATCTCTACTGCTGCTACTTTCAGGAATGCTGAGTATTACGATCTTTAAAATGTCAAACTGGGGACCTTCTGGGCCGAAGTGCTGTGGAGATCAGTGTTTACCCAGTTGATGAAGGTTTTGATAATTAGCTGATGAGCTGAATCAGGTGTGTTTAATGAGACAGTATGTTGACGTCTGCAGTGTTTTGGCCCACGAGGGCTGGAGCCTGACACGTGCTCTGGAAACACTGTGACACCGCCACAGGAGGACAGTAGGCGTATTTACAACAGATGTAGTGATGGTAAAATTTTTTACTTACTTCAAAATGTTTTAATTAGCAGCAATATTAGGATCAACACCAATAAAACCGTTAGTAGTAAATATCGGCTTATATCATTGGCCAATCAATATATCGGTCAGGCTGCGATGCCTGTGTTCATTTATTTTGCGATGCCCTGCCAAGTCCTTTTTTGAGCCATCATATGTTCTTCAGTCCTGCTGGAAAAACATCTCAGGTGGTTCCTCATGACGTTTCTTGAGAAAACACCAGGAAGCATGTAAAGCGGCATTAATGTGGGGCTACTTTCAGAATAATTCCATCCCACTGTTTTTTTTTTTCAGATGTTTTTTTTTATTTCAATATCACGTCTTTGCAATCATTCTGAAATGTTGAAAAGTTAAGGAAAACCCTTCTATGAGTAGGTGTGTCCAAACTTTTGACTGCTGCTGTATGAGAAATCAATTTCTGGCCACACTAAATGACGATATCTGCCGAAGACGCAGGCAGGTGAATGCAGAAGGCTAAAGGAAGTTAAACGGCTGAAAACAAACTGGTTAGTCTGAAATGTTCTTCTTGCCAAATGTGCTTCAGATTGTATTATTTTATGTATCGTGTATTCAGTTTTTTCAAAAGCACCAGGAAACCACATTTCAGTATTGGAGACACACCCTAAGGAACGAGCGGAGGTGCCAATGTGACGAGTTATTAACAGCCATTGTGTAATCTGTCTAATATTTGAATAGAAATGTATACAAAATAAAACCTCATTAACAATCTAGGATGTCCAGTGTTGCTGCGTCATCCACTGTACAGTCTGCTACGTGCTTCTTTATTGGATTTTCAGTTTTAGCACTGAAGCTAAGATGCTAAATATGAGCTAAATCACTTGTTAGCTACATTAGCTTCATTAGCTACATTGCAGATGTTAATTGGTGGGGAATAAGATTAGGAAGGACCAATTAGCATCAATAAAACTGGACAAATGTGTGGATTCAGGCTTCAAGATGGTTTCTATGTACTTTACTTCATGTTTATACATAACAGTGAGTCACAGAAAGATACGATGGGAACAAAGTCATTCTGGGTGCTTTTATGTGAAATGTTCCATGCTAGTCACAGTGGTGGTGATAGGAACCAGACATCCACCTCTAAAAGCTCCCTCACAGAAAGTTACTACATGAAATGTAACAATAGATACATTGTTTTATGATACACTCTTAAGAAAAGATGGTTCTTCAAGGGTTCATTAGTAAAGAAAATGGTTCTATATAGAACCATGAACACTCAAATAATGCTTTGCATGAATAAATGGTTCTTTGCATGGTGAAATGGTTCTTCACATTGATGGCGAATGTGTTGCATATGGTACTATATAGAACCTCTTCGAAAAGGGTTCCATTTAGCACCTAAAAGGGTTTTTCTACTGTTACAAGCTTGACATAAGACCATTGTCTTTACTGAAGAGCGCTTGAAGAACCATCTTTTTTAAGAGTGTAGTTTTGGCCTTGAGATTCATTCATGGTGGAGGGATACATGCAGGGCGCTGTGAGGCAAAATAGTCCCCAAAGAAAACTTATTATTTCAGATTTTCCACTGTTTCCCATCATCAACATTCCCTATAAACTCAGAAGACTCGTGTAGGTTCACTGGTGGTTCTGGATAGTAAATAAAATGTCTATATTTGTGTTGTAGTCATGGCGACCCCTGGTTCCTATCACCACCACTGTAAAGACATCTGAACCATTTCACACCAAACCACTCTGAATCACTCTGTTTACACCTCACACACTGAATTATGGGGGAAACCGGAAGGCCAGTTGGCTTCTATTACTTGTTAGCTACATTAGCCTCGTAGCTCCAGTGCTAAAACTAAAGAAGTAACACTTCAGGCACCACACCTGGCTACATCTGGAGGAACAATAGTGTACATTTAATTAATACCAGACTGTTCCTTTTAAAATGCAGTAGGTGACTCATGTTTTACCAGCCTTGAATGTACGAAGAAGACAAGATGAAGATTAATATGCAGTGAGCACTGGATTGTTGCAGATTTCCACTGAAGTGCAGCAAATGAACACATACGCATATGCTGAGGTTTATGTTAATAACAGTATTCAGGAACAGGACCACAGAGCAGTTCATTAAAGATTCATTCAGAAGTGGCAGCATATGTATGTTTTAATTGGTAATGCATCATTCAGCAGCGCTAGGCACATGCAGTATACGTGATCATTAACATTCCTGCAGGCGATCTGGTGTTTTCCTGCTGCAGAACCAGCAGATTTGATGAAATCTGCTGAGCAGCAGTGAAAAGGGTGATCAGATAAACACAGAGCTTGCTTTGCAGGATTGAAAGTACATAGTGTTGTAAAGGATGTTATGAACAAGTATCCTGTCGTTATACAGGGTGATTCAAAAAGATTCATCTGCGCCATATTTTCACAATCATGATGCGCATAGGAACCAATCACATTCCAATTGAAGGAGGGGGTCATAGTGTTTCTGACTGTCACCAGAAGATGGCTCCCTTCAGTCTGAGAGGAGATGAGACCCCTGAGCAGAAAGCGTTCTGCGTTCTCCACTTCAATAAGAGTGAATCCGTCATAACTGTGCAGCGTGATTTTCATGGGCAGTGAAGCTCCAACAGCTCAGAGCGTTCGTCATTGGTTCCACAACACTGGATGATCTCCGAAATCGCACTGAAAGAGCCGTGAGTGCAGCGACACCCGACACGCTCAATCCAGTATGGGATGAATCTGACTGTGGTGTTGATGTTGTCTGTACAGCTGGAGGAGGTTCAGACTGAGACCTTGTACAATTACATAATAAACTTTATGCTCATTTAAACCATTTACAGTTTACTGCACTGATCTGTAACGATTTACAGGTGAAATAAATTATTTTGAAATCAGATGAATCTTTTTGAATCACCTGTATTTTAGTATTGATGTGTGACGTTGTCAGTAAGCAGTTTTGCTTGCATTAATTAAAACACTTAAGGTCCCAAACACATTTACTACAAACACATTGCAGCATGACAGACACATGCCACTGGAGCAGCACTGAGAGTTGGCACTGGAGCAGCCCTGGAAGTCAGCACTGTAGTAGCATGGAAAACTGGCCCTGCAGTAGCACTAGGAGTCATCACTGGAGTAGCACTGGAAGCAGACACTGGAGCAGCCCTGGAAGTCAGCACTGGAGCAGCATGGAAAACTGGCACTGCAGCAGCCCTGGGAATTGGCATTGAAGCAGCACTGGAAGTACACACTGGAGCAGCGCTGGGAGTCGGCACTGCGGTAGCACTAGGAGTCAGCACTGGAGCAGCACTGGAAGCAGGCACTGGAGCAGTACAGGATGCCGACAGAAAGCAGCAAGGAAAAACACCACTGGAGCAGCACTGGAAGTCAGCACTGGAGCAGCACTGGAAGTCAGCACTGGAAGAGCAATAAAAACTGGCACTGGAGCAGCAATGGATATCAGCAGTGGAGCAACATGGAAAATCACGGGAAGCAGGCCCTGGAACAGGATTGGAAATTGGAGCTGGAGCAGCACTGTAAGTGAACAGTGGAGCATCACTGGATGCAATCACTGAAGCAGCATGGGAAGCCAGCAAAGGAGCGGCACGGGAAGCCAGCACTAGAGCAGCATGGGAAACTGGCACTGGTGCAGCATGGGAAAGCCAACACTGGAGCTGCACAAGGAGACATCTGGGGCAGGAGCAGACAGGGCTGCAGGCAGCGGGGCAGAGTCGCCCTTCCAGGCAGAAGATCAAACTAAGCCAAACCAGCTTCCTAACCTCCTTCCTAACAGCCTCGGAGCGTTCCACAGCTCCAAGCACAGCCCCTTGAACAAAGCTAGTTTGTGTTCTGATGCCACAAAAGGTAGCTCACAGTGGCGCTGACATGGAAGCACCCAACTGTATACATTCTACGACATATGTGGTAGATAGAGGAGAAGCTTCTTCATCTCCACTGGTCACTTATGGAAAACCCTCCCTATGGAAGCAAAGGGAATTTCTGTTGGCAGGGCAGCAACGCTGGGACTGAGTGAACTTCTACACAGATTAAAGTGAGGCAAGATGAATTTGCAGAAGACTTACACAACAGAAATACTCTATCTAATCTACACGCTTAACAGAGATGGTTCCTCAAGGGTTCTTTAGTAAGGAAAATAGTTCTATATAGAACCATGAACACTCATACAATCCTTTGCATGATTTGAGAGTTCTTTACATGATGAAAGTGTTCTTCAGATTGATGGAGATTGTGCTTTAGATGGAAAAGGGTTCTATTTAGCTCCAAAAAGGGTTCTTCTACTGTAACAAGCTTGACATGGAAACAATGCATGAACCCTTTTTGGTGCTACATGGAATCGTTTTCTGAAAGGTTTCCTAGAGACCAAAGATTCTTTATCAGTATGAAGAACTCTGTAACCATACAATAGGGTTTTCTGAGTGGTCTTGGTTCTATATAGAACCATGTTCTTTACTAAACAACCCTTGAAGAACCATCTTTTTAAGAGTGTGTAGTAGCAGTATTGCCTTTCACGCAAACCAAATTAATGTAATTTGAAATGAATAACCGACTCTAAATGTAGGTATTGTGATATAAACTCAGTCTGTTCTACAGTTTCTCATTAGGCTGAATGAATAACCGACTCTAAATGTAGGTATTGTGATATAAACTCAGTCTGTTCTACAGTTTGATGGTGAATGGGATCTTTACCAGCAGTCTGTGAAGAACAGTAGCTAAGACAGAACACATTTGAAGGCGGTTCATGGTTGGGTCAATTTGAGCTCTGTCAGCTGGGACAGGTTTAACGCTAATGGGAGAAAAATGAATGGAAAAAATCACAATAACGGGAGAAAATTGGATTTATTGGTGGACTGAAGCTTTTCCGATGGAGTGAAGCTGCAGCTTGAGCAGAGCCGTCGTCTCCACTGTGTGTGTGAAATCTGAAAAACATTCATGAAAAATTCTCTGCGTAGTGTCAGGTCACATTTAGCGCTACAGCTGCCTGTGACAGAGACTGAGGAGAGAATTCATCTTCAAAGTGCAAATCTGCAGAGAGCTTCGCCGTACAGTGCTGTAAAATAACACAGCTCTTCATAATGTTTTCACTACAAAGGTTTTCCTCATGTTTTCTGTGTCGTGTCTGTAATAAAATTCTATATTAAAGCAGGTTTATTTAGAGGAAAACAATATCACGTATAAATATTTGGCCTTTTATTAGAAACACCTACCTTCTACATCCACTCACTGGCCACTTTATTAGAAACACACCCTCTACTTCTACTCACTGGCCACTTTATTAGAAACACCAACCATGTGCTTCTACTCACTGGCCATTTTATTAGAAACACCTACTTTCTACGTCCACTCACTGGCCGCTTTATTAGAAACACCTGCCTTCTACGTCCACTCACTGGCCACTTTATTAGAAACACCTACCTTCAACATCCACTCACTGGCCACTTTATTAGAAACACCTAGCCTTCTACATCCACTCACTGGCCACTTTATTAGAAACACCTACCTTCAACATCCACTCACTGGCCACTTCATTAGAAACACCTACCTTGTTCTTCTGCTAACAGGCCACTTTATTAGAAACACCTACCATCTACTTCCACTTACTGGCCACTTCATTAGAAAAACTCACCTTGTGCTTCCACTCACTGGCCACTTTATTAGAAACACCTTGTAATTCCACTCACTGGCCACTTTATTAGAAACTCCTGCCTTCTACATCCACTTACTGACCAGTTAATTAGAAA